GGGGGGGGGGGGGCGACGGTGCTGGTGTGGTTTTGTGCCTTTGTGTTGAAGACGAAGGACTCGTGGCGCGGGAAGGCGAGGATGGTGCGGAGCGGCTCCGAGGAGGAGGAGAGGGGGAAGTAGGCCATCTGCGGCACCGGGAGCGCGTCGAGCTTCGGCTGCAGCGCCTCCTGCCGCTCGTCAGCGGCCAAGTGGCGAAGCGTCTCGGCGAGGTTCGTCAGCGAGCGCAAAAAGTCGCGCTGCGCAGTGAAGAAGGAGTAGACCATTCGCTGCCGCTCCCCCTCCTGCAGCAGCGGGCCGACGCCCCCCTTGCCCCCCTCCGCGGCCGAGTCGAGCGGCCCGCCCGCCGCGGCGGCGCGCGGCGGCACGGGCGTGGCCGGGTTGGAGTAGGCGGCGGCGAAGGACTGCGAGACGGCCGACGCAAAGGACTTGCGGATGCACTCGCCGTCGGTAAGGCGCGCGGACGGCGGCGCTGAGCCGGGAGCGGCCCCGTCTGCGGCGGAGGCGGAGTCCGTCACGGCATCCCCGGAGTTGCAGCACATGAACGAGCTGCCCGACTCGTACGAGTGCTGGGCGGAGAGGCGCGGCGTCGAGAGACTCGGCTGCAGCTGCTGCTGCAGCTGGTCGAGCCGGAGCTGGGAGGCGTCGAGGCCGGGCGGCGTCGGCATGGCGATGGCGATGTTGACGACGGTCATCCACTGCAGAGCCACCTCCTCCGACGGCGCGCAAAACTCCATCCTCATGCCCGACTGCCGGTCGCGCAACACAAAATAGTGTCTCGCCTCGCGGGGCTCGTGCCCGCCGTCGCCCTGCGGACGCGTCGGGGCGGACGCGTCACCAACGTGTCGTGGGTCGGACGGGCGGTGTGGTGGTGGTGTGGTGGTGGTGGTGGCGGGTGTGGGGTGTGTGTGTGGGGGGGGGGCGTCCTCGGAAGTGTGTCGGAAGTGTGTCGGAAGTGTGTCGGAAGTGTGTGTCGGAACGCGCCGGCTGCAGTAGCTCTGCGATGGCGAGCTGCATCGAGCCGCGCGGGCGGTTGGCTTCGAAGGCCTTTTGGGAGGAGTAGTAGAGCAGCATCCGGTCCTGCGGTGCCAGGCGGCGGGGCGGCGGCTCAGCGTGCACGCCGCTCGCGGATCTGGACAGCGAGGGTCGATAGGGGGTAGGGGTCCGTGGGGAGGTGTTCCTTGATGACGACCCAGCGCTGCGTCCACTTGTGTCGCGAGTACTTTGTGGTGGTGCCGCCGCCGCGCTTGCGCAGGAAGCCCTTGAGGACGACGGTGTCCTGGGCGAGGGGCGGGAGAGCGCGCTCAGAGACTGGGAGGGGAGGGAGGGAAGGGAGGGTGGGCCGAAAGAGAGACGGAGAGCGCGGCGCCCTCCTTTGCCGCTTTGCGCTCGGCCGCTCGCTCTCTCCCCGCCCCGAGGAGAGGGAGCGGCGATGGGGAAGGGGGGAGGAGCGGGCGAGAGACGAGAGCGAGGGGCCAGGGAAGGAGGCGAGGGCGTGCCGCTCGCCTCTCTGGCGAGCCCTCTGCCGTCGTGCGAAGACGACTGCACCGCCACCTTGACGCACTGGCTCATGAGCGCGTCCATGTCGGAGGGCTTGGGCTGGCCGCCCGCGCCGTACACGACGCACTGCTCCAGATGCAGCAGCAGCCGCGCGCAGCGCGAGTAGGTCGGCGCGCCAGCGTGCCCCATCCGCTTGGGCGCGTTCTCCTCGAGCGCGGTGTACACAGCCCAGAAGAACTGGAGCGCAATGTGGGTCGACATCTGCGACACGGCCAGCACGAAGGTCTCCAGGCTCTCGGCCTCGGGGATGTCGTCCGAGAGGTGGATCAGGATGTGTGCAAACTGAGGCAGCAGGAATTCGATCGTGTCCAGCGCGCCGGGCTTGTTTGCCAGCGCGATGAGGCGGTCGCCGGCGCCGCTGATTGCACCGGGCTCGCGCCGGTCGCGCCAGAGCGAGAGCAGCTCCGCTTCGACGGCGGCTGCAGCTCCGGAGCCAGCGGCGGCGGCCATGCAAGGTGCGCTTCCACAAGGCTCCCTACCTAGCCTCTTCAGACCCAGGTTCCGACCTCTGCGTGGCCGACTCACACAGCGAGCCTTGCTGTCTCCCTGCTGCCGATTCATCGGTGGTGCTCAGTCAAGATATTGTAGAGACCGACCATATGCACAATATCTTGACTGAGAGCTAAGCCCAGTTCGACGATCGGCAGCCTCACCGCGGGTCGCGCCGCTGTGCAGCGAGAGCCAGGCTCGCCCGGCGAAGGTGACCAGAGAGTGCTCAACAAATACCAGAAAAAATCAGGGAGCCTCAGAGAGTGCCACTGCCACCATCCAGGCCGCGGGAGCCGATCGGCTGCGCCGAGGACAGCTCCCTCAGTGTGCTCCGCGCTCACCAGTGTGCGCGTCCAGCACTTTGGCGGCCAGCCACCGGACGAGTTCTTCGACTCTGGAGGACAGAAAGGTACCGTTTGAAAGGTATTTTCATGCTCTATTGACTGGCGAAAAAATCCCCCGCAAAATGTTTTCACAGCGGGCGTGATTCACACCGAAGCATGAGTGAAGCATCGGGTCCGAAGAGGCTAGGTACCGCGGCGCAAAGGAAGCTTTGCGTCGGTTTCTTTTACACTGTATGTAGCTCTATCGTACATTCCCGGAGGAGGACTGCTGACGGGGTTTGCGATGAGGAGCGATCCGAACGTGGTATTCGGGTGATCAGATCACTTTTAGGGCCTGTGGGAGGAAGAGAGTTTTACAACGCCCAGTGTTGTGCGAGGAAGAGAGAGTAAGGTCAGAGAGGGAGTTTTTTTTCGAAAATTCTTTTAGGGCCTTCGATTTGGGGCTTCGAACGGCCTTGGTGCTGGGCTGTTGATGGGCTGCAGGCTGTGTTCTGTGTTGCCTCCCCGGCTCTCTCTCTCACTCTCAGGTAGGTGGGCAGTCACCTCCTCTCTCTCGTGCTGGGCTGTTGATGGGCTGTGTTGCCTCCCCGGCTCTCTCTTGCTCTCTGCTGTTGTTTGATTTTCTTTTTTACCTACCGACTGTGATAGTTCTCTCGTTTTGATTTCCTTCCCGGCTCTCTCTTGGGCTCAGCTAGTCGTCTCAGCCCGAGACCTCCCGGCCCACATGGTGACCAAGTACAAGGAGGATGCGCTCAAGCGCCTGATGGCCCTCTCGCCAGCGAGCGAGCATGGGACACTTCACAAATTCTTCTCGCGCATGCCGAAGCCGAGCCCGGCTCCCGTCAACGGCGTAGTTGCCGCTGCGTCGTCCTCGACCGCTCCGGTCAACGCCGGCGGCAAGAAACGGGCGCGTGTTACCGCGCCGCCCGTCACGCCGGAGGGACTGACGCCGTCGCGCCGCAACGGCGTGAATGCGGCGATCCTCTGCTTTTCGCCCTTTGCCTAGGCGGGCCGGCTCGTCGCGCAGGCTGTGTCTGCTGAGGCTGTGTGAGGCTGTGCCCACACGACCCGACGCCCGGCTCCCGGCTGTTTATTTTGTGCGAGACTGTGAGCGCGGCGAGTGGGGGAGGGGGGCTGTGTCGGCCTAGCCGGGTGTCATTTGACAATTACAGATTTCATACACCCTCAAAACATGGCACCAACCAGATCGACAATCGGCCTCGCCCGTCACTCGCGCGTCACTCTCTGCGCTCACGGCTGCAGCAGAAGCTGCTCGAGCTCGGCGCGCACCCACGCGCACGTCGCTCGCTCGCTAGGCAGGGCGTGCGTACACGCGCTGACCACACCTGCAAGCGGGCTTTCATCGGGCACACACGGGCGGGTGAAGCCGTTCGCGACGATTGCGTCGAGCTCGTGTCGGAGGCGCGAGTCGCACTTGCCTGGCGCGTCGCCCGTGGCGAAGTGGTACGGGTCGCAGACGCCCGACGGCGCCTCGAGCGCAGCCAGGACACACCCTAGCGACCAGGCGTCGGTGCCACGCGAAAGCGGCACGACTGCAAAGTCGCGGGCCACCCGCACCTGCTCGGGCGCCCGCCAACCCGGCGTGCCTGAGTGCGAGAGCTGCGCCCCAACGGCTAGTCGCCTCGCCTGCCCAAAGTCACACAGCTTAGCGACAAGCCCCTCAGAGCGCGCCGACAGCAGCACGTTCGATGGCTTGAGGTCAAGGTGCACGATGGGGGGAGATCGCGTGTGCAGGTACGACATTGCTCTTGCAATCTGCACGCCGAGGGAGCGGCTCTCGCCCCTCTGATCCCCGATCAACAAATCTCCCAGAGTCCCTGCGTCGGCATAGTCGAGAGCGAGGAACGGCGTCTCGCGCGGGGCGCATGCAAAGCCCATCACATAGATGATGTTCTCATGGTGTAGTGCTGCCGCGATCTGACACTCGGAGGCAAAGGCGCTGCTCGCGCGCAGCGGCTGCTTCACCGCGAGACGACCACCGTAGTGGCGGCCAAGCCTAACGGTGCCTTGGCCGCCCTTGCCGAGGCGACCCTGGCTGCTGCCAAAGGCGATGTCGCGCAGGGCGAGGCCGCCGTACCGGCTCGCGGTCGGCGCCAAAGGCGGGATCGGAGCGACGAGGCGAGGAGCAATTGTAGGTGGAAGAGCGGCGAGGGGCGGCGGAAGTGCCAAGCTCGGCTGCCTCGCGACGAGCAGGTGGCCCCTGCCGTGCTGGCCGAGGGCCCGTGGCCGAGGGACGGTAGACGGAATCGGGACGGGAACGAGAGCCGCAGGAGCAGCGTCAGGCACCGCGAGGGCGGCGGCCTCCGCTCTCGTTTTCTTGAGTCTGCGTCTGTACTCGACCTTCTCGGCCCTGCGGTCACGGCCCCGATCGCCCCTATCATCCGGATTGGCGCGTCTATACACGGCCTCAGCGCGTGCCTGCGCCGCGGATCGCTCCCTTTTCGGCATGTCGTTGCATAACCCAGTGTCGGGAGCGAAGGCGCGAGTGGTGACACGCCCGCAACCTTTGAGCACCTGCGTCCCCCACCAGACATAAATCGTCCCCCACCAGACATCGAAGTCAAATGTCAAAGACACCTCTAGGGACTGGCAAAGTGGGCTGCCACACCCACAAAGATGCAGAAAAAGGGGACACCGGCGTGACGTGGCCTCTCGACGGGTTTGTTGAAGCAGAACTTGGTTCGGCGCACGAGCGAGCACGCACACACGAAATAAATGAATGAATGTTTGCCGCGTGGGTACAGACGCAATTTAGTGGGTTCAGGGACGGTTAAGCGGGAGGATTGAATTCGTATCTCAGTGCAACCTTTTAGTGTACTAGTATCTAGACCGTATAGTGACCGGCGCGCAGCGCCGAAGAAAATTTTGGCAGAAATCGCTTATAGAAATCGGCTGCTGGCTCGCCCGATTTCCCTCGCCGAAACAGAAATCGGCTGCTGGATGCCGACGCCCCGATTTCTATCGCCACGCCTCGCACTGTACAGTAGATCGATGCGGATTACGGTGCAACCGAAGGCGAAGCAGGGTCCACCCCACGCATGTGTCCGCGCAGGGCTTCACTCTATCACTGCTTCTCGTCGACGCCGCAACTCGGGCTGAGATGGTCTCTAGCACCCTGCAGCTCCAGCTGCGATTTGCCACACACCCGCCCAATCGTTGATGTCGCGAACTACCATCGCCCAGCTCGAAAAATCGTTCATCGTTGCGATGATCACCGTGAGCAGTCCAATCTTACTTCTTTGGCATAGGTGTCCCGTCAGCCAACCTTGCAACATCTGGTCCGTCGTAGACCCATGAGCCATGACCAAGTCCATAACTTGCATAGATGTCCCAGGAAGGAAAATGGCATTTCTTATTCTGCTTAATCATGTAGATCGGATTGCCACTTTTCACGATTGCTCCATCTTTCCAAGGCATGGGCAGCCCATTAGGAATCGCACCAACTTCGTTACCTTCGTAGTTCAACTTTGGCTGGCCCCAACTGCAATAATTTCCCCAGCAGTCGTAGTGGCGCATTTTCCCTTTCTCAATCTTGTAGATCGCATCGCCACATTTCACGACTGCGCCCTCAAACGCCCACGGTGGTAACTTGGACGCCGCCTCCGCCGGGACCTTTTCCTGCGTAGGCGCCGCCTTGTCCAAACGCGCTCGGGTAGTAGGAGAGAGAAAGTCGACCACCGGCTTGAGCCGGTCTCCCATGTGGACGAGGCGCCAAGCATTCGGCACACGGCGCTCGTTGGCGAGGCTTCCAGGTATGTTCGGATTGGGCAGGTTGCCCGCAATCGATGTGAATCGGTACGTCGATTTGCTGGTGCCGATTCCCGTCTCAGCCTTCGACTTCTCCTTCCCAGCTGCACTTGCTGATGCAAACGACCCCGCTACGGCCGCTTCAAAGTGACGCGCAGCAGCAGCCAAATCTTGGACCTTTGATGTCTCCTTTGTTTCTTTGGTATACGCAGCAAGCCCAACCAACGGTTTCAGCGCAACAAAATCGCCGTACTTTGCCTGGATTGCCTTCCTGAGAGCGTCGCCCTTCAACTTCCGATCGAGCATTTCGCAGACGTCGCTCTCAAATTGCGGGTTGATCTTGATAGGGAATTTCTGCGCATGGTGATAATCTGTTGGCAGGTTGAAGTACCCGACCGGAAAGACATATGTAGCGGTAGTCGTCACCGACTCACCCTTCTCCAACTTCTTGTTGCTGCAGTTCGCGCCGAATGATGCCGATCCAGAGATCCACGGCGACTGAACGGAGGCGGACGCTTCCACGCCCATCATTGCAGCGCGGTCCACGTGCCGTGATTCTGTAGTAGCACTCGTGAAAGCTATCAGCGAAATCTGAGCAGGCTGGAAGATGTGATTGTCATTGAAGTACACGTTGGGGACCGTGAAGAGAGGCTCCACAGCAGCATCACCACCATTCGAGTTGAAGTCTTTGAGGGTGCGGCCCTTGAAAATGAGGCAATTACATGCCACTGACATCCAGTGTGCACCAGTGAGCTCGTCAAACTTTATCGAGTGGGCTTGTGTCTTGTCTTCTGGAAGGCTCACTTCCCGTAACGTTTCCTTAGCCGTAGCCTCGAAAGCGGTAAAATTGTCCATCGATAGCTCCATCCC